CTAGAGGGAGAGAGACAGAGCACAAGCAGGGAGAGCAGCAGGCAGAGGAAGAAGCAGGGAGTCCAATGTGGGACTTGATCCCAGGGCTCTGGGATCATGACTTGAGCCACCCAGCCATCCCTAGGTTGCTTCCATATCTTGACTATTGTAAATAATGTGCATTACATAGGGATGCATATATATCTCTTTGAATGTTTTTGTTTTCTTTGGATAAATACTTAGAAGTGAATTGCTAGATTGCATGATAGTTCTATTTAAAAAAAAATTTTTTTTGAGAAGCTTCCATACTGTTTTCCAGAGTGGCTGCACCAATTTATGTTCCCACCAATAGTGCACAAGGGTTCCCTTTTCTCCACATCCTTGCCAACATCTGTTATTTCTTATGTTGATGATTTTAGCAATTTTGACAGGTGTGAGATAATAACTCATTGTGGTTTTGATTTGCATTTCCTTGATTAGTGATGTTGACCATGTTTCATTGTCTGTCGACCATCTGTATATCTTCATTGGAAAATGTATATTCAAGTCCTTTGCCCATTTTTATTTTTATTTTTATTTTTTTTAAGATTTTATTCATTTATTTGACAGAGAGAGATCACAAGCAGGCAGAGGCAGGCAGAGAGAGAGGAGGAAGCAGGCTCCCTGATGAGCAGAGAGCCCGATGCGGAGCTCCATCCCAGGACCCTGGGAACATGACCTGAGCCGAAGGCAGAGGCTTAACCCACTGAGCCACACAGATGCTCCCCTTTGCCCACTTTTAAATTGTTTTTTTTTTTTTTTAATTTTTAAAAAGATTTTATTTATTTATTTGACAGAGGCACAGAGAGGGAAAAAACATAAGCAGGGGGAGTGGGAGAGGGAGAAGCAGGCCTCCCTCTCAGGGAGCCCAGTGTGGGGCTTGGTCCCAGGACCCTGGGATCATGACCTGAGCCAAAGGCAGACACTTAACAACTGAGCCTTTTAAAAAAATTTTAATGTGTATGAATTCTTTATATAGTTTGGATATTAACCCCTTAGTGGATGTATGATTTGCAAATATCTTGTTCCACTCAGCAGGGTGCCTTTCATTTTGTTGATGGTTTATTTTGGTGTGCAAAGGTTTTCAGTTCAATGTGATTTTATTTGTTTATTTTAGCTTTTGTTGCCTTGCCTGAGGAGACTGGTAAAAAAATATATATTGTTAAAACTAATGTCAAAGAATTTACTGCCTATGTTTTCTTCTAGGAGTTTTATGATTTCAGGTGTTATATTTGAATCTTAAATCTATTTAAACTTATTTTTGTTTGTGGTATAAGATAGTGGTCCAGTTTTATTCTTTCGTATGTAGCTGTTCGGTTTTCCCAACACCATTTATTGAAAAGATTGTCTTTCCCCTCTTGTATATTCTTACCTCCTTTGTCATAGATTAGTTGACCCTATGTGCATGAGTTTATTTCTGGGATTTCTATTCTATTCTATTGATCTATGTGCTTGTTTTTGTGCCAGTATCCCACTATTTTGATTACTATAGCTTTATAGTATTGTTTGAAATTAGGGAGATTTGTGCTTCTTTTTTCAAGATTGCTTGGTCTATTCAGGATCTTTTGTGGCACCATACAAATTTTAGGATTATTTGTTCTAGTTCTATGAAAAATGTCATTGGTATTTTGATGGGAGATTGCATTGAATCTGTAGTTTGCTTTTGGTAGTATTGTTATGTTAACAATATTACTTCTTCCCTTCCATGAACATGGAATATCTTTCCATTTATTTGTGTTGTAGAACTTATATTGGATTTTGTAAATGATGCCTTTTGTGAGTGGGGGAAAGTGTAATTGGTGGAAAATAAATTTCTCTTTTAAGGAATAAGTAACATAATAGTTGAGGACAAGGATGTCTATGCTCCCAAATTTCAATGTTTTTATATTTTAATTTCCTGACCTGATATATTTGTGATTAAATAAAAGTTATATTTATAAATATAAATATGTAAACATCCATTTAAATTGATTCCAATAAAGTGTTGGTATTGAGAAGTCACTAGAAGGAGTCATTGATGTCATCAATAGTAATAATAATGATAGTAACTACTAACATTTCATAAGAGTTTGCTGTGTGCCAGGCACTGTCTAAGTGGCTTGTTGGCATTAACTTTTAATCCTTTAAGTCTTAGTTATTCCTAAATCAATCCCTGTGAAAAATGTCAAACTTTAATCTGAAAATAAAGCATACCCTGTAAGGCTTAGAAATAATGTTATATAGACTATATATATAAAACAATCATATATAAAGTGAAACTTAAAAATAAACTGTATTGGGATGCCTAGGTGGCTCAGTTGGTTAAGGGTTCAGGTTGTCATCCCAGGGTCCTGGGATAGAGTCTGGCATCAGGCTTCTTGCTCAGCTGGGAGTCTGCTTCTCCCTCTGCCTTTCTCTCTCTCTCTATTTCCCTCCCCTTCTCTCTAACAAATAAATAAAATCTTTAAAAAAATAAACTGTATCATGTTTAAAAATTGTTATGTACATGTATACATATTTTTACAAGAATGGGATCATGATACATAAACTTAAAAAATAAACTATAGGGGTTCCTGGCTGATTCAGTTGGTAGAGCATGTGACTCTTGATCTCAGGCTTGTAAATTCAATCCCCATGTTGAGCCTAGAGCTTACTTAAAAAATAATTAAAGAGCAAATTTTATTTTTAGAACAGTTTTAGATTTATAGAAAAATTGCAAAGATAATAGAGTTCCCCTACCTCTTTACCCAGTTTCTCCTATTATTAACATCTTAATTTGTATTCTGCATTTGTTACAGTTAAAGAGCCAATATTAATAATTTATTTTATTTTATTCAAATTTCCATATTTTTTACCTAATGTCCTTTTTCTGTTCCAGGATCATGTCTAGGATGCCACATTTCATTTAGTCCTCTTGGATCTTTAGCTCCTCTTGGATCTGACAGTTTCTCAGACTTCCCTTATTTTTGATGACCTTAACAGTGTTAAGAAGTACTGGTCTGGTATTTTGTAGAATGTTCCTCAATTGGGACTTGTCTCATTTTTAAAAAAGGATTTTATTTATTTATTTGAGAGAGAGAGTGAGTGTGAGCATGAGCAGGAATAGGGGCAGAAGGAGAGGGAGAAGCAGACTCCTCGCTGAGAAGGGAGCTTGACATGGGGCTCTATCCCAGGACTCTGGGATGAGCTGAAGTCAGACTCTTAACCAACTGAGCCACCCAGGTCCCCCTAATTTTTTTTAAGAGAGAGAGAGGAAGAGAGAGAGCGCTCTCGTGCCTGAAGGAGCAGGGGAAGGGGCAGGGAGAGAATCTTAAGCAGGTTCCAAGCCCAGCACAGAGCCTGATCAGGCACTCAATCTCACAATCCTGAGATCACGATCTGAGCTGACATCAAGAGTTTGAGGCTTAATCAGCTGAGCCACCCAAGGGCCCTTGTCTAATTTTTTTTAACGATTAGACTGGGATTATGGGTTTTGAGAGGGAAGGCTTAATATACTTAATCATTTATTTTTAACAGTATTGACTCATGGATATTTATTTTATAATATGTGTTATAATCCATACCCTTTTTTATGATGTGCTTTCTTTGCTAAATAAAAAAGTGGATAACTTTCAAAGTCAACAGAGGTAAACAACACAACTTCTAGAGATCGTGTAGTAGGCATTTAATCAACCAGCCACTGACGCGTATCTTCGCTTCCACTTTTTCCTTATTTAACAATGCTGGTTTAACATCCTTGTGCATTCATTTTTGTGCACTCCTATGACTAATCTTTTCCTAACTCCATCCCCAAGACACATTGTATTTGAGCTATGACCCCTGTTCTTCAAGCACACCCTGCTTTCCACAGCTTAGGCAATTTTCTCTACCTAGAATGCTCTTCCCCTATCTTTGCCCACTCAAGTTCCCTGTTTGATTCTGGGCTCAGCTCCATGGCGACTTGCTGTAGAAGCTCTTCTGCTGTATTTTGAAGAGAATTTTATGGTTTCATCTCACTTCTCTTTGTTGTATATGTATTATAACACCATCCGAGCCTCCTATTCTATCCCAGGATTTCCTATTATTTTATTAACAGGTAGAGGAAGAAATACCATCAATCACACTTATACTCCACCGTAGTACAAAACAACTAGTCTATTTTGACTTTGAAGTGGAGAATCTGAGTAGGTGAGAAATTTAGAAGTGTGCTCAATATTGCACGGCTATTTTTCCTTTCTTTCACATACATTGCTGCTGGATGCTTCAGGGAGACAGAAGAGTTGAATATACGTGCTCATTTTTGTTTAAAGTGAAAACAACTGTGCTGCAGTTTAAAAGTAATGTTTTCCAGCTGTCTGTCAAAAATGTTATCTGCATCTAACAAAATGGACATCTTTAATGTGCCGGTATTTATAGGAAATTGTGTATGAAAGCAGGAGAAATGAAATAATTCAGTAAGTCCTCTTCTGACTGGTGGCATTACGTAGCTTATGTATTATAATTAGTAAGAAGAGGTGCATGCCAAAAAGCAAAACAAAAACAAAACAAAGACGCAATGTTAGTTTGGTTGTGAAGCTGTCAGTGAGCTAAGGCTAAAGAAGCTCCCGTGCTGCTGTGTGATGACACACCCAGCCTGTACCTAGGAGGAGTCGGGCCCCTTCCGTTAATACTTTGCGGCGAGGTAACCTACACATCTGTGACCCCCCACGGGGTAGGAGGAGGCCTTGCCGCAGGCGCGCGCGCAGAGACGGCCACCCGCGGGCACCTGGGTCTTGGCTCCTCCGGGCGGCTGGGCCCCGCCTCCGCTCTCCTGAAGCCCAATCATCTGGAGAATCCGGGGCACGTCCCGCTCCGGCCACGCCCCCAGCCGGCGGGGCGGGGGGCGTCTTTAAGAGCCCGCTGGCGGGCCGCGGTCGCAGTGGGGGGTGCGGGGCTGTGGACAAGAGGCCCGAGTCCTGAGGCTGTGAAGTGCTCGCTCTCCTCCGCCTTCCTCCTCGCGGCAGCCTCCGCGCCCTGCGCCGCGGGGTTCCACCGCCCTCGCCTCGGCCTCACCAGCCCGCCGGCTCGGCGCTCGGCAGCTCCTCCGCGAGCCCGCCGGCAACTCGCACCCCTCTCGCGCTCCCCTGGCGCCCGAGGGGGCCGCCTGGGGCCATGGTGCCCTTCCCCGAGGAGCCCGCTGTCGCGCGGGGGACGAGCGAGGCGCAGCCGCCGGGCCCTGCGCCCACCGTGGGGGTCGCTCCGCTGCCCGGCCCGGGACCCTCGGACGGCCCCGAGGCGTCGGTGGAGAAGGTGGAGGTAGAGCTGAGCGGGCCCGCGGGCGCTGAGCCCCCGCAGCCTCCCGAGGGTGGCTGGGGCTGGCTGGTGATGCTTGCCGCCATGTGGTGCAATGGGTCGGTGTTCGGCATCCAGAACGCCTGCGGGGTGCTCTTCGTGGCCATGCTGAAGACCTTCGGGTCCAAGGACGATGACAAGATGGTCTTCAAGACAGGTGAGGCGCGGAGCCCGCCGCGCCACCCGGGAGTGGGGGGAGAGCGGGCACGGGGCCCCAGAGCGCACCCCGCGAGTGGAGTGTGTGTCGGCGCCCGCGTGTGCGCCTGGGTGGGTGCCTGTGTGCGCGAGGGTGTGAGAGGTGGGTCTGTCCCGCTGCGAACGCAGCCTGCCGCTCCGGGGGCCCCGGGGTGCCTGGCTTTGTATTGAATCCAGATGTGGGGACGGTGTGTTTGGAAACAAGTCGCAGAACTTACTTGCCCAGATCTAAGAGTAGGGTTTAAGCGTCTTCGGTATACTTCCCTCTTAATTTTTGAAAACAAACAGCCTTTCAAACCCAGCAACATCTCACTGAGATTTTTACGGTCAAGATCTTATGTGGCCAAGACCGTTGGGTTTTCGTTCATCTGCCTCCAGGGCTGTCAAGAGGTGTGTTGTGTGTGTGTGTGTGTGTGGTGAGGGAGGCAGGGTTGGCGGGATTAAAGAGATTTATTCCAAGGTCACGGTGAGTTCCGAAGGGAGCCCTGGAAGAGTCACGGTTTCATGTTGGTTTTTTTTTTGGGGGGGGTGGGTGGTGCACTGTGTGCTAAATATAGAAAGCATAGGGGCAGCCAGATCAGGGACTGGGAGGAGGAAGGTGAGGGGTTGCCCTTTCCTGTTATGCTCTTTGTCGTATTTAACCATATATGAGACTGGATGAAAAAGCGCAGACTCAACATTTTTTCCCCTCCAGAGCGTTATTATGTGATCTCTTGACTGATAGGCAAAAAACAAGTCCAAGTGCCTTTGTATGAACTCTTCTACATACGTTATTTTATGGTAACTTGCGATGCAGGTGTTACCAACCCTATTTAGGTGAGCAAACTGAAGGTAGGGAAAAATAGTGTCTTGGTGAATAGCAGAATGGGGATAGAACACACATCTTATGACTTAAAGGGCTAAGTGATTTCCATTACTAAATAAGGCTCCTCCCTGCCATTGGGGAAACTTTATATGATTGATAGTCTTTTTTTTTTTTTTAACCTTAATATTCTGTTTTTACAGTGAATATTCCTTAGGTCTTTAGTGTACATGCAGGGAACATGCAAGACTGTTATAACAAATTCTAAGGCAGAGGTAATGTTAGGAGTTTTAAAACCTTATATAAATAGTGTTACTTGTATCATTCTGCAGCTTGCTTTTCTTCTACTCTGCATTGTTTGCAGTTTATCCACAGAACACCTCAATTGGGGTGATAGCTTAAATTCTTACGTTTTAACTCAAGGTTTTCCATTGTATGAATGTATATTATACTTTTACTAATGCATTCTCTCTTTAATAACCATTTAGATTACTTCCTGACTTAATAGCTGCAATGAATATACTTGTACATTGTCTCTTTGCATATGTGATAATATACCATATTTAACCCAGAATTTCTTTTCCTTAAATAGCTCTTAAACTACTGTGTTACACAGGTCACAGTGTTAGAAATGTAATGTCCTGTATTTATTTATTTTTAATGGAAGGCAGGTGTGATAAAGTTTAGCAGAATTGATATGCATATGCAGCACTGAGCAAAAATAATTTTTTTATATGAGCATTGGTCATCTGATAAGGAAAAGCTCAAGGAGGCAGAATTGATACTCAACATTTTAAAACTGGTTTCTTCAGCATTTAGCATATTCTTGCCTGGGTTTGCAGATTTTTAATGCAGTTGAAACAACAAGACAACAGTCTTTTGTTTACCAGTGTTCTTGCAAACTCAGGTGAGTAGTTCATTTGCTATCTGTGGGTTTTTTCTCGTATCTTCATTTTATGAGAGTGACTGTGTGAGTGAGTGAGCAACTGCTGGGGAAAGACGGTAGTTTTGCCGGGGATCTGAGTTTTAACAGGGTTGAAGCCTCTACCTACTTTTCACAACCCCAGAGTTCCTGCTGGCGACAGTATCCCAGTACTGGCCAGGTGAGGGTGAGGGAGGGGACAGGAACCTGTTCTCTTGAATTTTTGGAATTCCACTTTGTCATGTTTGTGTATGTGTGGGTGTATATTGTATAGTAACACAGGTAAGCCAGTTAAATACTGAAGATCTTTGTGTTTATCTGCACGACTGTGGTGTATGGCTGTGCCCTTGCACAAAGGTGCCCACCCAGAGCACAGTCCTATGGTGACTGGGAATCAGCCTGTGCTCTGGGTGCCCGCCGGTGTACTTGTCATGGTTCTGTATAACACAGAAGCTAGATTGAACAGTGACTTTTACTTGGATGCTATGCTATACAGAGCTGACAATTGAAAAATTTTAAGGTCTAAGGAAGAAAAAAGATTTAACCTCATCTGTAGAAAAAAAAATGATAACATGATTTTCTTTAAGCCGGTTAATACTGAGACCTGTCCCCCCATCCCCAGCACACACACGTGTTTCATAAAGTCCATCCTTCACAGCAGACACTGAAGTGTTTGAGAAAACCTGAAGTCTGCCTGTTCAGGCTTTTTCATTTTGATATTCCGATGCTGAGTCATCCGTGATTAAACATATGCAGGCTTCAAGTACAGTGCCCAAAATATCTGAATTGTTTGAGGCTTTTATTTTTCAAAAAGTTTTGGTCCATTATCTGTTACCTTATTCACTATTGGTAATCCCAGCATTAGCGACCACTTAATTTTGTTTTCCTGTTTTCATCGGCTTCTTCCTGGTGATGAGCCCAAGGATGCATAGGAAAGTAGTGGTGGAAAGTGAATCTAGGTTTCTAAATGATGGCTCACTCTTCTTGAGAACTAACTATGTGCCAGGCCCAGTGCAAAGCACCTCCAGGCATTCCTATTTAAACTTTACTGCAACTCCATGATACAGGGTTAATTTAATATCTTTGCATATGTGGAAACTCCGGCTTACAGAGTAAGCAGTGGAGCCAGGATTCGACCTCGGGTTTATCTGACTCCAGAAACTGGGTTTTTAATGTTTGATCCTTTGCACTGGCATGATAACATTCTGTTAATCCAGCTTTGTTTATTTTGTTGATTTAATTCAAGCATTAGGAATTGAGTACCATACCAGGAATTCTAGGGTTAGAAAAGAAAAGAAGTCTGAAAGACAAGGGTCCCTGTTTCTTGGTCTTCCTTTGCTGTCAATAAAGTATTGCCAATTGTTAATGTCTCATTGAAATAGGTTTTTGTAGAGGGAGTTCCAGTGAGAAACAAGATAATTTCAAATGGCATTCAGCAGAAGTATGGGGTTTCTTTTGAAGAACCACATTCCTTTAGACTGATCCATGGTAGGATGTTTCCAGACAGAACTGGAAAGGAGACTTTCTCAGGCTTACTTCTTTCAGGGCTATCTTTTTTAGTTTGAGAGAGTGCGCAAGAGAGAGCTCACAGGGGGAGAGGGAGAAGTGGACTCCCCACTGAGTGGAGAACCTGATGCAGGGCTCCATCCCAGCGTGCCGGAATGGTGACCTCTGTGAAGGCCGAGGCTTAACTGACTGAGCCACCCAGGCGGCCCTCTTCAGGGCTATCTTAACTCTTCCAATGCAACTGATGATCTACCCAAAACTTCTCAGGAAAGTCCCTGAAGAAATTCATTCACACTAAGATATAGGTTAATTTATGCACCTTCATGTTACTCCTTATTCATTCTACAAAAGTTTACCAAGTTTCTGACACTCTCTGTGGTGGGCACTGGAGATGGTAACTGAGAGAAACAAGGTCAGCAGTTCCCAAGGATTTTTTTGATCTTCTGTGGGATACAAATGAGTAGACAGAATATTTCCCTGAGGCCTTTGCAATTTAGCAGGACTAAATCTCATTTTAAAAAGCTGAAATTCTAAGGAAATTCCTGTGAACGGTGGGGGCTGGGAAGGCATTTGATGTTTGATAGCCTCTTTCTCTATGGTAATAAATCTTACTTCGTGAATTTAGGACTCTGGAAAAGGGAAGCAAGCTGAGCTACAAGTTAGGCAGGAGAATGAGTGAAAAATGTTGAGTGCCTCACAGCCCCACTATGTTATCCTCGCTGCCAGAGACGGGATGCTCAGAACTGTGCCTCACAGTTCCTCTGCATCAGAGGGTGTAGACAGAACTGGAGCTGTCTCTTTTCAGTTAATCTTTTACCTGTTCACATGTGTACAGGTAAATCAGATGCTTCTTTAACCGGAGTGGTATTTTCCCTTAGAAATCACAAGTGTGCTGGATATTGGAAAGCACATACTTAGTTCCTTCATTGAACTGATAAAGAATTAAGAGTTCTTTTATCTTCAGATACAGCGCTGTGGACGCTCTGGGATCTTATTAGGGTATTAATCTAGTTTACTTATCTGCTTTCTTCCTGGAGAAAGAAATAGTTTAATGGTATATTCACTTTTAAAATATGTTTATTTAAAACAAGTATGTTTTCAGAATCAGTGTTTAGGGTAGTTAATGATATCCTTTTGAAGATACTATGTCTTTGTGGTCCAGAGGCTTGGTCAAGTAGACTCTTGCTTCTTTCAGTAATTTCCAAATTGTGTTCTTTAATAGCCTTTCTTTAAAGTGGAGATCTGTGGTTAAAGACGTTTGGGAAATACTGCATGTTATCCTCCCTTCTTGGGTATTTAAAGTACAAATCAAGGTATTAAAATTCGGTAGTTTTAAAGAAAAGCAGATTATCAAAACAGTCCCCAAAGGGAGGCTCTCTGGCTACGATCTTTAATGCTACTCTGCCCTCCCATATGGCGGTGGATTGCTCTTCAGAGAGTTACAATCACGATGTAAGATTTTCAGTAACATTTAGGGAGCAGTGCATCTTGTAACATCTCTCAATATAGTCCTACTGGCACCTTTGAAACTTCAAGTCAGTTCGTGCTCTTGAAGGTTTTAAAAAAAAAAAAAAAGTTTTCACATTTACAGTTATGCTGATATTTACATGCTATAGTTTTTTGCTACACCTAAACTTATAGGAGGTTGATTATAGTTCAGAACCGAACTGCTCGGTCTGGCCTTTGTGCTAAGGGTCCCTTTATGTGGGGAGAGGGGGGTGGGTGGAGAGCC